GAGAAAGAACAAAATACAGTAAAAATAAGTTTTTGAGCACTTAAAAAAATGTACACATAAAATGTTATTATTACATTCATTCTCCAAAAGTATATTACATTGTTTTTTGTGAGAAAAATTTTTTTTTTTATATTTCACTGCAAGTGTTCAAAACAAAAAAAAATATGACAATGAAAATAATGCAGTACAGTACATTTCCCAAAAAATTTTTTTTTGAAGTTTTGGAAAATCGATAAAATGATCATGCCTTAGTCTCGTCGTAGCAAAGCTAATTTTATGTTATTTAAATTAATAATACAAATTTTAAAATCATAATAACATTATTTTCAGAATATAATAATTGTTTATTTGAAAAATAAGTTTCAAATTCACTTCTACAGAAGTGCAGTCGGTAAAAGTAAAATTTACTTTAATTCAAAGTAAATATAAAAAAATAATACAAAATAAAATGCATACCATCAAGGAACGACCGTAACAAAACTAAAGAAAAAAAAAAATACATAACTGAGATGAAAGGTCTCCGTCGTATGCGTAAAAGAAAAAAACTGACCGACAACAACGATTTACGAGGCTGTTTTGCTATCAAACTCATTTCGCGTGTATACGGCCTCGCGCTCCAAACGTATACGTACCTATGTATAAGTATACACATTGTACACACGCACGCTTGACTTTTACTTTGCCGCATCGTATGCACGTCAAAGTTTGTGTGTACAGCCCTTGGTTCTTGCCAATAGCATAGGACGTGCTCCATTACGGGCCGAAGCTCTCTACGGATTTTTTTGCGTTTACGCTCGCGCCAACTAACTTTTTACTTCGAAAAAGCTCCCTTGAGTGCGTATCTGTGTATGTTTTTATGCACGCGATACGCGAATGCAGAGAGGCGTCGAAATTTCGTTACCACGGGTGTAGCGCATTTTTGCTATTCATTATATGACTTTGTTTAACTCTGCAACTTTTTTATTTTACGAAACAGAAGTTGCTTGACGAAAAAATCGAGAACCAATACTAGAAAGTGCACTGAGGTCACTGTAAAAATTTGCATTTTTTTTTTTTTTTAATTGTTCCTTTAAATCATGCATAGTTGTCTAGTTCCAGGCTTAGTATCTAATCTCTAATTTTGATATAAAAGCCACATGTTTCACGATAAAATGCTCACTCGAAGTCTTGTTAAAATAAAAATCAGCTTTAATAAACAGGAGACGAGTAATATAAATCTCTTTATTTCATTTTCAGTTTTTTCTTTTTTTTTTCAGCATTAAAATTTTAACAAATGTGTCACGAAAATGTAACGTCGGGCTCTCGTTTAACGGTACGAGAATTACTTTGTTCATAGTCATTTGCACAAGTTACGTTTTCCACGTAAATGAATGAACTCGTGCGACGTTTCGAAATATCTAATTAAATTGATGCACGCGAGCACGACCCGTCAACTACTTGTAGGTATGAATGTACAAGGTAGGTACGTCATACTCGTTTATTTCGACGACGTCATCTACGTCTTATATATAATACATCTATTTAGTTGAAGCTACGTAATCAAAAGATGCAAGTGTACCACTACGTGTCACTCTGGAGTAAGTATATACAATTTGCAAGGGGATTTTCAGTGAATACACATTACGTACACACAGACATCGCCCGTACATGTACACAAATACGTGTGTGCGTATATATGCGTGTACAATTTATAAAAAATGGGATGGCACCAGCAAAATATTAAGGGTACTTGTAGATGCGAATCGCACAAACATTCTTTTTGCGCTGAGGTGTGTACGTAATGCGTGTCTGAGTGAATCTTTTAATGGCCATACAGTGCACACTCTGCCGAAGAAGAGTCTCCTGAATTTTGTCAACTTTTTTTTTTTTTTTTTTTCTCTTATTAGACGAAAAGTAAGTACATATACAGTGCGATTTTTTTACTCTACCGAGTAAGATAAATTATACTTTTATTGCAAAGCGCATTTTTAAAAGAGACGAGCTTTTTATTTCACAAAGCGTGTGCACTTAGAAATGTAAAGGCATAATATTTCGGAGTATAATTTTAACTCTGGTTGGCTTTTTTAAGCACCGTGGAAGTTACTATAATTGTAAACAATTTTTTGTTCTCCTAATGGTTCTGCACATCAAGTCTTTTTAGTCTTATTTTAATGCTTAGCTTTTATTTTAACGATAAGTTTTGATGATACTAGAGTTACAAAGGTTTTTCAGACAGAAAAATTTTAATTCTTTACATATTGTTGTTTTAATGGAAATCATGCTGCTTTATTTTAAATTTAGAGTTAAAGTTTAGCACATCATGCATACGATTTCAAATTTTTTACAAAATACACACATTTACTTCAGTTAATCTATTTATCGGATTGATGGGATGTAATAAATTTTCATTCAATAGAATAAAGTGAACATCGAGTGAAAGTATGAAAATATGGTCAGACGTATAGAGTATGGAGAATAATCCAAAGACAGAAAATTCTTCTATACAAGGTGCAGTGATCGAGACAAGAAAATAGGACGTTTTATCGAATTACCAAGCAGATTGTACATTACGTAATTAAATCTATAAGTTATTTGATAGTTGCAGTGGTGGCATATACACGTATATATAT